CGCGAGCTCACCTTGCCGGGGAAGGGCCCCGGGAGGAGCAGCTTCAGCGCCTGCCTCTTCAGCTCCACCAGGCGGGCGTTGCAGTTCTCGCACCAGACGCCGCGGTCCGAGCCGGGGGAGGAGCCGCCGCCGCTTCCCGAGCCCGGGGAGCCGGTGCCGAAGCCCGGCGAGCCGCCCAGGGAGCCCGGCGAGCTGGTGCCGATGCCCGGGGAGGTGGGGCCCGGGGAGCCCGTAAAGGAGCTCGGGGACGAGGTGCCCGAGCCGGGGGACGGGGTCCCCGACGAGCCGAGCGCCGAACCCGCGCCCTCGGGGGTGGGCCGGCTGCCGGCGCGCGACTCCTCGTACGCTTTCCGGTACCAGCTCTCGGGGGAGAAGGGCGCCGCGGGCTTGGTGGGCGAGCAGACTTCATTCACCTGCGAGGGAGACGTGCAGAGTCAGGGGCAGCAGGGCGGCGGGGTCCCGCGCCCCGGGTCCGGGCCGGGCTGGGGGCGCCCTCCCGTCGGCCCGGGATCTGCGCGCCCCCGAGGGCCGGGCCGAGCGCCAAGGGGCGCGCGTTCGGGACCTCTCCGAGCCCTGCGGCCGAATCTGCTTCCATCTGCCCCGTTAATCGTCCTTAAGTGGGTCCCGGCCTTCCGGGCGCCGGCGGATTCCTCCTCGGGTCGGGAGGAGAGGGCTCGCCCAGGGGCTTCCCATGGTTTCTACAGGGGGAACCCATACAGTCAGCGCCCCGCGCTTTTGAATCCGACACCCATCCCAGAAAAAGCCCAGGTTCAAGATCCTGGAAGACGCTCTGGCGGGGGGCGGGGTGGGGGGCATCTGGGTTTTCATTCATTCGGGGTACGGCCCTCCGGATCCTGAAAGTAAATGGAAGGCTCCCCACGCTCCAGGGCAATGATCCCGAGGAACGGCAGAGAATTCATGTACACTCCCCCCGCATTCGGCTTAACTCTGCCTGGAAGTGCACGAATGCCGCAAAAGTTAGGGGTGCGGGGACCGCCAGGAACGCGAGGACTGGGAAAATTCCGAGGGCCAGGCGAGTGTGCCGGCGTCCTCGCCCGCGGACCCGCCTCGGTGCGCGCACGCCCAGCTCGCCCGGCCGGGGCGCCTCTGCAGCGGCAGGAGAGCTCGCGGCCGCCCTGCCGGGCCGCACGGCGCCCGGAAAGGGGGACCCCGGCCGAGGGGGCTCTGGTCAAGCGCCTCCGCATTGTACCCGTCACAACTTACCCCATATTTCTTGCCCCTGCTGGAGACCGCCAGCCTCTCTTTATTCCCGGCTACCGAATTCATGGTGGCTTTTCCAGAGGAGAGTGTCTAAATGTTCCAGCAACGCTACATCCAAAAGGTCTTCCAACCCTGAAGGGTCCCCCCGTTGTCGGGGGCTGCCTCTTGGCCCTCAAGTCAAGGTTTCTTAATGGGGGGGGGGGGGAGAATGAAGAATCAAAGCAAATGGAGCCCAGAAGTAATAGCACTAATTTGCAGAACGGGTTGGAGTGGCTGGTTTATTCTTCTCTTCAAATAATGCTTTTCTCATCCTCTTCTGCCTCCTCCAGTCACACGTTCTCTTTTCACGGTCACATCCAGATAATTGGCATTTTCCTCAGCCAAGTGGGTCCGTTTTCCTCCACGAGGGAAGCGAGGAGGGCAGCCGGGCACACGCAGCTGCAGGGGAAGGTGGGCGAGCCCTCGCCGCGCCTCGCCTCCCGCCCGCGAGCCGGCGGTGGGAACTTGCCTCCTTCACGGAGCTCGGTAACTGAGTTCAAAGAAATTCTCCCAAAATATAAAGATCCAGACTCGGGGAGGAGCCTCGGCGCGTCGCGGAGCCAATATCCGCCGGCCCGCTCGGCCTGACAGTCGCGCGAGGGCAAGGAGAGGCGGCTCGGCGTGGCCCGGGGCCCGCCGCGGTCAGCGCGCGCGTGTGCGCCCGGGCGCAGCGCGGAGCCTCGAGAATAGCCGCCCCGCCGCTCGGGAGCCCGCCGCCTGGCTACCGCCGCCGCGCCGGCCGGGATCCATTTTATGTTGCGGCGCGCCCGCCTGACACTGCGAGGCGAGCGCCGGGGGGCGGGGGTCGTAAATCTCGCCCGTTGCGGGGAAGTTCCTGGAGAGTGGCCCGTGGCCAGGGCCCTAATGAAACGCCACTGCGCGAGCCTGACGCGGAGGGGCAGCGCCGAGCGAAAGGGCTGGACAGAAATGCGCCCAAGCCTCCCCGCCCCCAAGTTCTTTCTCTTCCTGGCAAGGCTTGCAGTTCTGCCTTTGAAACGCCGTGTAAAAGGGACTGAGTCACAAACAAGTCCACAAACATGCCGGGTCCTCCCCCCGCCCTTTGTTCTCCTAGACCTGCCCTGCAAACCTTTTCTGGAATTGCCCTACCAATCCCCGGCCGGCCGGGGACGGTGGGGACAGGGGAAACGGGAGGGACGGGGGGGGGCGGGGGGGCGGACACCCACCCAGCCACAGCCAGAGGACCTGGGGGCCTTCGACCCCCTCCCCGCGAGCCCCAAGCTAAGACGTGCCGAGCCGCCCAGGGCTGGCCCAGGTGAGCCCGGGATCAGGCTGGCCGCCACCGGGCAGGGGAAACTGAAGGATTGGCCGCGGTGCACAAGCGCCGCGCGGGCCTGGAAAGGGGGTGTGTGCGGGCTGACCTCGCCTCGCCGCTCCGGAATCGGTCTCCTCGGCACCCCTCCTTCCCTTTCTTCCCGCACCTGGGGCCCGCGGAGCCCCGGGAGCACCCGGCCACCGCCCCCTGTCCGATCCCCCGCCACCCCCGGCGCAGCGCCGGGGAGTGCAGGAAACCGGCATATGCCAGGCTCCACACGTGGCTGCTCCGGGGTGTCATTTTTCATCTCCCGGGAGGACATTTCCTCTGGTGAGCCTGCAGGTCTGTTTTGTTGTGACCTTTAATTAACACCCCGCCAGACGCCTGGAGAAGGACCGGCCCAGTGCGGGGATCACGTGAGGTGTAATGGCATCTGCGCGCCCGGAGGCACCCGCCTGGGGGTGGGCGAGGGCGCAAAAGACGTTTGGGGCTTTCCAGTCGCTGGCTTCCTTCTGAGATAGGGAGGGGGCAGGAAGACAGCCTTCTGAGGGTGCTGAAACCCTGGGGCAACGCCCCTCCCGCTTTGCTCGGGGAAAATTCCTTCTGTGCCTCCCTCCCACTGCCATCTACCCACCCCACCCCACCCCACCCCCTCGCCGCAGCCCCGCGTGGGAAGATTTCACAGGCACCAAAGTGAGGTAAGAAGGTCAAAATGAAGATGCTGACAGCAGTGTGGAAGTTTCCATTACGTTCCAGCTTCCAATTTAAAAGCGATCACATCGAGAGAGGACCTGAGGGGGACAGGTACGCCTCCAGGCGGCCCACCGCAGCTCTCAGCCACATCTGTATTCCGCGGGGGTGCGGCGGGAGACGGCCTCGCCATTAGCTCGGCGCTGCGCAACAGCAGCGTGAGGCCTCCTGAAATGCACCAGCGGGTGAAGCCGCGGCGGGTGGGGGTGGTGGGGAGGTGGGGTGTCCAAGGTGAACTGTTGCGGAGCTGCGAGATCCACCTTGAAGACGGAGGAGACCAGAGCTGGTCTGCTTTGCATCCCCAAGTAGCTGGGTCCCCAAAGCGTGTTTGGTGGGCTCGGAGCGCCCTCTGTTGATCACAGTCTACACCCGGAGGCCCCGCCAGAGAGTTCGGTTCGAGGCTTTTAAAAAGTGGACGTGGGGCGCCGGGGTGGCTGAGTCGTTAAGCGTCTGCCTTCGGCTCAGGTCATGATCCCAGAGTCCTGGAATCGAGCCCCGCGTCGGGCTCCCCGCTCTGCGGGAAGCCTGTTTCTCCCTCTCCCACTCCCCCTGCTTATGTTCCCTCTCTCGCTGTGTCTCTCTCTGTCAAATAAATAAAATCTAAAAAAAAAGGGGACGTAACATTTACACACAGTGAAATGCACAGATCTTAAGGATACAGATCTGTGAATTTTGGTAAATCTAGGCTCCCGGATAAGCCACCACCTCAGTCAAGGTATAAATGTCCGTTCCTGCACAGAGTTCTCCCCTGCCTCTTCCTAGGCCGTCCCCACCCCTCGCACACAGCCCCTGCTCTAATTTCCATCACCATCGATTAGTTTTGTCTGATCTTGAACTTTTTATTCGTTGACTCCAGGTGGTATGCATTCTTTTGTGTTTGGCTTCTGTCGCTTAATATAAAGCTTCTGAGCTTCATGTTGTTGGGTACGGGTCTGTATTCAGCCTGTACTCTGTTTTTCATTCCTGCCTCTCCTGCCTTCTTCTCTTTGTTAACTGAATATTTGGGGGGATTCTGCTTTCATCTCTCTACTGGCCTCTGAGCTCTAATGATTATAATGTGCATCTTTAATTTATCATGGGCCACTTAGAGTTAACACTGTGCCATTTCACCTAAAATGTAAGAAACTTGCAAGAGTAAATTCCATTATACCTCCCTCTTTGTGCTACTTGGATAAATTTTATATCTACCTACATTAGAAAACCCACAATACAATCTTATCAATTTTATTTTAAACAACCTGTTGTCTTTTAGTGAAACTAGAAAGTTTTAAATATAGTTTTTTCTATGTACCCAGTTTTGTCATTTCTGGGACTCTTCATTTTTTTCCCTATTGAGCCAACTTTCCAACTGGGTCATTTCCCTTCAGACTGTAGGATGCCCTTTAGCATGTCTTGTACTGAGGGTCTCCTGGCAACAAATTCTCTCAGCTTCTGCTTGTCTGAAAATGTTTGTGGTTTTTTTCATATTCTGTGTTTGAAGAATAGTTTAACTGGATGTAGAATTCTTGGTTGACAGTTATTTTTCTTCCAGCTTTTTAAAGATGTCAATCATTGCCTCCTGGCCTTTTTTGCTTTTTTTTTTGAATTTTCTTTTCTTTTTTTTTTTTTTAAGAGAGAGGGAACAAGGGGAGGAAAGGCAGAGAGAACAGGAGAGAGAGACTCTCAAGCAGACTCTCACTGAGTGTGGAGCCCAGCTCGATCTCAGGACCCTGAGACCATGACTGAGCCAAAATCAAGATTTGGACACTTAACTGACTGAGCCACCCAGGCCCCCCAGCCTTTTTCGCCTCTGATTGGAGATCAACAGTAATTCTATAGGAATTCCTCCTGTGTGTAATATGTCCTTTTTCTCTGGATGCTCTGAAGATTTTCCCTTTACCATTAATTCTCAACAATTTGACTCTGATGCTCCTAGATGTGGTTCTCTTTGTACTTATCCTGCTTAAGGTTTGCTGAATTTCTAGGACGTATAAGTTAATCTAGAAGTTTTTCACCAAATTTGGGGTCATTTCAGCCATTTTTTATTCAAATTACTTTCTGCCCCATTCTCTCTTTCCTCCCCTTCTGGGAGTCCAATTACATGCATATTATTATACTATTTGAATTGTCTCATAAGTTACCGAGGTGGTTCTATTTATTAACATTATCCTTACCCCTCAGTTCTTCAATCTGGATAATTTCTGTCAATCCTTTATTAAGTTCACCAAGCATTGCTTCTGCTATCTCCACTCTCTGTTAAGAATATCCAGTAAATTCTTTATTTTAGATATTGTAATTTTTAATACATGCCTACATACATACATAGTTTCCATTTATCTGCTTCTTTTTCCTTTAAATCCTTGAACACAGTCATGAGAGCAGCTTTAAAGTTCTTGTCTGCTAATTCCAACATCTGGCTCATTTGGGGGTCACTTTCTATGAACTGATTTTTCTCTTGACTCTGAATCCCATCTTCCTGTTTCGTTTCATATCCGATATCCAATAAAATTTAACTGCATGCTGAATATGGTGGACATTACATCATAGAGATGCCAGATTCTATTATCTTCCTTTAAAGAGTATTGATTTTGTTCTACAATAGCCAGTTAAGCTAGTTATGGATCACTTTAAACTTGTTAGCAACTTGGCTTTATTCTTTGTTAAACCAGATCTATGTCAGCTGTGGCTTATTATCTAAGAAAAATTACTTGGTCCTGAGACTTGTTCTTTACCCCTAAAGTGGGGCACTTCTGGGATTTCAGTAAAAAGCCCAAAGTGTTTGCCAGACCCTCTCACTTGGGACCTACAGTCCACGCTCTGCTCCCCTCAGTGATAGCAGCTGAAATCAATTCTTCCAGCTTCTAGATGCTGCTTTCCTCTGACTTCCTGTAGCTCTCCTATGTATACAAAATTCAAAAATATCAGCCAAGGACTTGGGGAAATTGCAGATTTTAGGGCTGCCTCTCTCCTTTCCAAGATTCTCCTTCTCCCTTTCCAGTGACAGCCCTTAACTCCACCAGGTAGTGCCTCACACCAGAAAGACTGTCTCTCTCCTTAAGTTATAGCCACTGTGCCCAGCATACTGGAACAGACCCATATAATCCTTCTTTCAGGGACTGAACCCTTGACTCCCCTCTGCCGCTGCCTACTTCTGGCCACTCTCCCGTGCCTTTAAATAGGCTTTTTGTTGTTATCCAGCTTGTAATTGTTTTCTTTGGGGAATTCAATTGTATATAAAGTATTCCCCAGTTTTAGTCTTAATGGTGGCTTTTTCAAGTCTACCTTAGGTTTTTAGAATTCCTGTCGTTTCAAGGGTTTTTATTTTGTGAATTAGCAGCTTAAAAAGTTAGTCTTTAAAGACTCTAACTATATATTGCTTCTCGGCCTTTTGGCTAAGATCAAGTGTTAAGAGTCTAACTATATTTTCTGTTGGACTGAAGGTTCTAATGATGCAACCAGACCCTTCACTGATAGATAGATAGACAAATCTAA